TAGGTCAAGAGAAGGCTAGGGAGAGATCGCTCAGAAATTAACAGCAGGGGCAAGAGTGACTTGACTTGGGGAAATTAGTTTAATTTATTACCAAACAAATCAGAGTAGGATAATGAGAAATAAAGACAAAACTTGAAACACCATCCATCTACGCACCCCCTTTTCTGGGCTTAACTTTAATACCAAATTCTCTTTCTCCTCCCCCCCAGCAGCTAGGCGGGACAGGAGATGGGGCTGTGGTCAGTTCACCACAGGTTGTCTCTGCTGCTTCTTCCTCCTCCATGGGGAATTCCTCACACTCTTTCCCTGCTCCAGTGTGGGGTCCATCTCATGGGAGACATTCCTTAGTGAACTTCCATGAAAACTGGCATATTACTCAGACTTTCATTCCATGACTTTAAATTTCTATTCTTGAAAGAATATCAACTTCCATAGCTTCAACCTTCATAGCTTCTGAGAGCACATAAAGGGTGAACCAAAAAAAGCTGTAAGACCAGAAGGCAAATAAAGAGCTAAAAAATTTATTCCTTTAATAAAAAATAAATTTAAAAATATAGACAGAAAAGTAAAGCTCATCATTTTGGAGTTAAGTTCAAGTTCTGCTGAACATTAGGGACAACACTTGCTCACCCATTTGTCAAGGAAGTTGAGTGCCAGGTGTCTGTTTGTGGCTCCTGCCTGTAGCACTCCAGGTTATCGCTCTCCTGAAATGTCATTTCAGGGAAAAAAGCAAAACAGGAGCCAGGTATAGGCATCTCCCACTCTTGTGGAAGATGCCTTCTCCCAGCAGGGTCCTTCTTGTAAAACTAAACATGCTCCCCCATGAACCTCATGGGCACAGCTCAAGTAGCTGTGTGCAACACCATTACTGCCACATGCTCATTCTGCCCATGCCAACCCCACAGCAAACTCAAGTAAAACTGTAACTAGATATTGGTTACCAAATAAATAGATATTTCTAAATTTTACCTGGGGTGACAGTCTCAGTTAGTGCTGAATAATTAAATGCATCACATATTTTCATTGTCCAAAAATACATTTAAGCTATTTTAAGCAGCTTTGTTATGGATTCTCATGGCTGAGTAATGGACAAACTTGAACAATTTCCTGTGATACTGTTTTGGAAGCAATACCAAAAGACCAGTAGACACATCTACCATCTGTAAGCTAAATAAGTGCAGATTTGATGAAAAGATCAAGAGCTTGTTAGCATATTCACAGCATTCCACATTCCAATTAAAGAAAGGCAGATTAATATAATCAACTTCAGTCAACTCAAAGTTGACTACTTCAAAAAGAGTAACCTTAAGCCCTGTATGTACAAAGAGAATGATTGAGGCACCTCCAGTGGGTAATTCATCTCCTAATTCCTTCACCCTAAATCTGGTGTTTTAGACGAGTCACTCCATGCAGACACTCAATTCATTTCACTGACCCAAAACTCAGTGTTTAAACTTGTACAACTTCCAAGATTATAAATGTCATGGTTTGACACTGGCACCATGCCAGTGCCCCATGAAAATGCAACCTATCAATTGAATGCTGTGAAACGTGATCGAGAACAGAGCAAAGCGGACCAAACTTAATAACAAGGGAAAAACTTTATTACAAAACTACTACTACTATAAAAAGAAAAAAAAAAAAAGGAAGGGAAAAAAGAAAAAAGAAAAAAAAACACACACACACAAAATTCAAAATGAAAACCTTTCAAAACATTCCCCCTCCCACCACCCAACTCCAACAAACCACAGCAAGACACATTTGGACCCTTAATCAAGTCTTCACCCTTCCACATAATCAATACTGAGTCCATCAGGGGAGAGAGGAGTCTCCCTTGCACCATAGACCCCCAGGAAACACAGCTGCCACCTCTTGTGTTTCCATGTCACACGTGGCACCACCCAGACACACCAGCCAATGTGACACTCTCCTCTTCATGTCACAGTGCATGGACAGAGACTGCTTATAGGGCTCCTTTAAGGATGCTTTGCCAAGGACCAACAGGAACAACAGTCCAGTGTCTCATTTTGGGACTACAGTCCCTGCCATTTTCCCCTGGGGCCGAGGATCCAAGAACAGAGATCTCCTTCTCTTTTTCTCTGAAGATGGAGGGCATCATCACACCCTCCTCAGCTTTTTTTCTGTTCATTCCTGAACTGGTAGTTGCTGAAGGAGTCTCTTGGCTCACCATTGCATCCCCCTAAAATGCAGTCTCTCTTGGAGGAAGGATTGGTTCTGTCTATGGCTAACAAGAATAGTCGAGCCAAAAGCCACTCCATCATCTCCCCCCAACCTTCTTTCCCTAATATCTGAGGTCCCAGACTGTCTTTCTTTCCTTCAAACTGAGGAGGAGTAATATTTCACAAAGCCTTCATTTCCCAGGAAAGGGTTAAAATTCCCGGACTCCTTGGACGGACAGCTGAAATCTCGGCCCAAGATTCCATCTCCCATCTCATCTTTCCCCCTCCTTCTCCTTCTCTGCCAGCAAACTTCCAGGTGCCTGCAGGCTCTCTATCTCTTTCCCTCTAGGTTGGCGGGTGTGGGAAACAAAGACATCTCAGACATTCTCCACCCTTCCATCCGCAGGAGCTGGTCCAGCTCGGTTCCCGATCCTTCACCCCCTGGCCTACCTCCCCAGGCCACATGGCTTTTCCCCTCCCCCACCCAGCTCGTGGCTGGGCAGGGGAGATCTGCACCCTCCGCTGACTGGAAACAAAGAGAGCGAGTTCTCCTGGGAATTCCGCTTTTAACCCCTCTGTGTTCTCAGAGGCGTGTCCACCTTCAATTGGTCACCCCAAGTGTCAGTATCCGAACCTGACCCCTGACTGGAATGACCTCATACTTCTGCAAAAATTCTTTTTTCGTGTCAAACCACGACATTAAGTCAGATAGGATAAAAGTTGCATAAAACATCTGTTGTCTGAACTCAGGTATCTACATAGGCATTTTCATTGGAGATATATGTCCAGAAACACCTAGAAAAGCAGGTTTCATAATGACAGGCAGATTCTTTAGGTTTTAGGATTTTTAGTATGTTATAGATGGATACAAGATGGAGGGTACAGGGTGTTGTCTTGAGTCCCTTTCTTCTTTCTTCTTCCTTCTTGGGTTTGGGTGGTATGTTGTAATTGGGCAGAAAAATCCACATTGCGGGACTTTAGGGGTCAGTTATTGGGTTAGAAAGGAAAATAATTTAGGTGTCACTTCTTAATTGAGTAGCTTAGGTTTTTATTAGACTTAAAAGGCCTTGTAACGAAGGACTGTTAGCCATTTTTGTGCTGTTTATCCTGCATGCAGAGTCTGGTGCAGACAGTGTGCTGAAGTTTTGCTAAGATAACAATAAACAGAAGCTGAAGATCAAAAAAGTCCAATGCATCTCTCGTTCCTGACACAGAATTGCTCCAGGAGGGTCTCCCCTGCCAGGGGAGTTCCCAGGGAGTTGCCCAACTTGGGGCCTGCAAACTCACACCTAGGAAATATTTTTCTTGTGCGTGTAAGCTGACAATAATGGCTGCAATTCCAAATGAGGTCAAGTAAACTGGAGAGTAAGTACAGACATCCAATGCATATAAAATGCTTTCAGCTATTCAAAACACCAGCCTAGGGTGGGTAAACATGACACAATACTTGAGGAATACACATATTTCTACAGGGGCTGTGAGAAAGCAGAAGAAATATTCCACAAAACCTAAATGACACTAGAGATCTACATATGTGCAGCTGAATCCTTCCCAAAGGTAGGTGCCTACAATCATGCTGCTTACTTAAGGTCTCACTACAACTAGTAAAGGTCTAACCAGCATAATTCATGGAGCCTAGAAAGCTTCATCTTACTAAGTAGATATTGACAGCTTGATTTCATTGCCCATCAGTAGACACTGAGCATTATTTCTGATGTCATAAGCTATTCAAAACTCATGACTCCCAAACATGACACAGGTCTTGGGGAAGACCAGTGTCCTTCTGGAGTGGTGGGTAGAGGCCAGCAGGGTATTTCTTTAATATCTCAAACAGCACTCAATAGCTGTACAACCACCTCTCATAGCTGGTCACCTGAAGCTTCCTCTGTGCTCCACTGACAATATTGACTCATTTTACTTGACTAAGCATAAGAACATAACACCATTTGAGATGTTTAAAAATCTTCCATGTGACTTTCAGAAAAGCTAAGGACTCCTTCAGGCCTTTTGTTATACTTATCAGATCCATACAGGTGACAAATGTTAATCTCAGGCTGGATACCAAGCAAGATTTCTTACCTAATATTTAAAGTGAACTAACTAGGAGGTTCCTAGAAGAGATCAAAAAACAACAACAAAAAAGGCATAAAATCCTTAGGGACTTTCAGTTGAGGGCATTAATCAAGAAGAATATTCTGTTACTAGTAAGACTAAAATTTGTACTTGTGTTATGGAGCCAATGTCATGCACAGTCTTTCAAATGCATATCAGTGTAATTTCTGGCTCTTCCTTAGACAACAATCTAACAACTAAAATCTCTAAAAGCCATCCTAAAAACTGAGGAACATTGTTTTGCTATTTTGTACTGTTGCAGTTGTTTAGGTACTCCTCCCAAACCAAGCGTTCATTTTATTAAGTGAGATACATACATACATACATATATACATATATATATATACATACATATATATATATAAACACACACACACACACACACACACACATATATATATATATATACATATATATATATATATATATATATATATATATAGCCAACAAAAGGGCAAATTTCTGCCCTAGGAACCTGCAGTCTAACAAGAAGACAAGACACAGCAGATGGAGACCAGTGAAACCATGACACATCTTTATGTGTCAAGTGCTCTCTGCACACAGCAATCTGTTAACTTTTTGTAAGAAAACAAAATTTCTATGAAAAGTTCATAGATTGCAAACTGATATAAAAGCTTTTTCACTATTTGAAATTAAGTTGAAAAATCCATGCTCAGGATGGAGTTAAATAGGTTGGTTTTTTTTTAATTTTAGATTGCATCCCAATTGTACAATCTACTAATCTTGACATCACCTCCCAATCCACAGTGAAGGGGTAAGTAAGATGAATTAATGACTCTATGATTTTTTCCCACTTTTCCTTTTTGGCTTTTAATTCTATTACTCACCAGCATCAGTTTTTCTGTGCTCTTTAATTAGACTGACATTAAAAGATGGTGACTTCTATAGGGAAAGAATAAACTTTTTGTCCAAAATATTGAGACAATGTGCCATGAGGAGAAAGCAGACGAGGAAAATCTCTACAAACTAATTTTCTGAGATTTAACATTTACATTGGCTCTGAAAAAAGCAATTCAATAATAAATACATTGTGTAGAATGCCAAAATCTAAGGCATCATTTTTGCCCTATATATCTGACTCCTTAGGTTCAGTGGTAATCACTGGAGCACTTAGTAGGATTATTCTACACAATTTTTGCAGGTGCACAGAAGATTTTTTCCTCAAACCTAACATCTGCAGATGTACATATCTCAGAAGTACATGAATTTAATTTTCTTTTTTTTTTTTTAACTGTGCTGTTTCTAGTAGAAGGATGAATTTGCTTCTCGGTGTGCATTGGTATTTCATAAAGATCCATCTGAAAGATCTATTTCAGTGTGCACAACACAAATGCACCCTCAAATAAAACAACAGAACTGAATGAATTAATATGTTGAGCTAAAATAGAGTTGTTTTGCTTGAGCATGCCTATAATTTCAAAGGTTAGGTGCTGCACAAAGTTGAAACAAAGAGGAAAAAAAAATTTAAAATCAGACTTTTAAGGTTTTCTCTGAAAAATACTTCTACTTCTTTGAGTCTGTTTAATTAATTTTCTAGAAAGATATTAAAATAAACTTTTTCAAGTTATTTCATTTTTCAGTTCACCAAAGAAAAGTCAAAGCATAGGATTGTTTATTTCAGTTACAAATGTAAACAAATTTTGGTAAGAGCAGTCAGGAAATAGATTAGCAAACAGTATGCAAGAACACAATCAGAAGCATTTGGCTACTGCAACCTGGCAGGTTACCACACAGGACAGATCTCCTACAGTGATCTACACCCTGGACATTTTAGGCAACTGAGTCTCATCTCCCTTAGATAATTCCAGCTAAAACTAGTTCAGTTGTTTGCCTCATAACTCATATCTTGAAGTAGTTACAGAACCTCATTGTTCTGTTGAACCAAATTTGTGTCTATCTTAATTATAGTTTTTCCCTATAGATCAGTTTTTTACCTTCTGATTAAAGGCTCAATCATATTTCAGGTTTTTAAAAGCAAAGCCAGATCCTTTTTGTAGAACAAACTCTTCATTCCTTTGTCATAAACTGTACTTAGACATCTTAAGGTTTTTTTCCTTTTTAACTTGGACAGTTAGAATTGTACATGATTCTGATAAGCATTGTCCTTCACCAGGGCATTAACACTCCCACCTTTACCAGAAATATCCAGCCTCAAGCATCCTTGCATCATAGTAATCCTTCTCACAGTATTATACATTTTTATGCCACGCTGATTCTGTGGACTAATTCAACTAAAGTGCTATGGTGACAAAAACATTAATGCTCATTAAGCCAATCTGGAAATTAGATTAAATCATCTAGATATACTGATTCCAAAACATCTTTCCAGATGGAAGAGACCATGAGGGAAGAAGACAGTTACTACTTGTACTTTGAAATGAGGAACATGTGATCTCCTGTGAAGTGATATGAGCAAAGGCAAAGCAGTGATCTGAAGTTTCTATTCTCATTCAGGGCTGAAAACATCCCAAGGAGGATGGGAGAGTGAGCGAAACTGCAGTCAAAAGCCTTCTCTCCTGTAAAGTGATGGAAACCACATGGTTCAAAGGGATAATTTCAGAGGTCAAGGCATGACAGAGAGACAGGTAGGCTTGAAACCTGGTTCCTTCCTTTCCATTAAAATTCCCCCTCCGGTGTGAAATACAGAATTCTACGCTTTTATGAAGTTCTCTCCCATTTTATGGCAATGGATTTCCAGCACTTTTAGTACCTGAACCCACGCTGTGCTCTGAGCTGGCACCTCTGCTGATCTTTTCATACCTGTCAAGAAAATGCAAAATCTCAGTTCCTTGCTTTAGGATGAGATTAGTGACAGCTCAACTACAACATAATCCTCATACAAGTGAAGCATCACATAAAAGGCATTTCACAATATACCACAGAGGGAAAAAGCACTCCAGGAATAATAAAAAAAAAATTTGGTTTTCTTTTTATTTGTGCATTTGTCCACATTGCATTTTTTAATTATATTAACAATAAATCTGTACTTCCCTTCTGTCTTTAAGCACTATTATTTTAATTCTCCGGTTTTAAGTGCTACTTAAGTATTTTCTTGCCATTGGATTTTGAGACTTTTGGTCAACAAACTCCTTAAAATTTTCTCTGTTCCCTTTGATAGCATAAATGCTTGTTTATTTATGCAGCAACATATATTCTTCACAAGCAATACTTCACAAGGGCTTCTAACACACTATGAATAAAAATTTTATATACTACTTCAGTGCTTTGTTCTATAATAGCTCAGTATATCAGAGGAAGATATATCTAATGTTTGCAGTTTCTCACTATGACATGCTATGTTATTACTGACAAATTGATCCTCTATTTAGCATTATTCAAAATATTCAGCTGAATGACAAAATGTGGGTATTTACAGTGGCTTTTGTTTTTTCCATTTTTTTCTACAAACATTTAATTTTTAACTGGGCATATGGCTGAAAACTGCAGGAATACATGTCTCTTCCCTTGAATTATGTTCACAGATCAGGTCAAACAAATGGTTACTCTAAATTCTGCATAATGTGTTTAACCATTCCTCAGAAAAGATCAAAGGCAGTTTTGTCAAACAAAATGTGGGAATTTGCTCATTTGAACACTTCAGTACATTTAGTCTTCTAATCCAAACAGAGAGAACTACCTTTCCAAACAAGGATATAAACTGAACTCAGTACTTCAAAGCTTAGCAAAACTCATTAGCTCTATAAATATATTAACAGAAAGAGCTAGTTAAAATAGTAAAACAAAACCATGATACTTATATGAACATAACTTTATGAGCACACAGCTGAACCACATTAATAAAGTGTATAAATAAGGCTGGTGCTGATGCATTTAATACTCTCTCTCACTTGTGAGATTTTCCACACACATGTGCTGTTTAATACCCTGTATGTCTAGAAATATTTTGCTCAGGGAAGATCTTATTATTGAATATTCACTGCAAAGAAAGAATCAAATGAGTACCAAATTTCCTCTACCTACTGTTAGGTAGGTAATCACACTAATTAATTGAAAGTGGGTTGTTTCCTAACTGAACCAATTATGCAGAAAAGGCTGCCTGAGGTTGAGCTAACCTCCCTCCCATTAGCACAGTTACAGTGCAAATGACAGGAAAAGAGAAAAGAGTGCACCGAAAACCAAAACATTATGCTATTTATAACTGTGCATTAAAAAGGGACTGTGAAAATGAAAAAAAAAAAGCCAAATCTACACACAGCACAAACAGCCAGGGTGAAAACTCTTCTTCTAATGAAAGTCCAATAGCCAGTCACCATTTAAAAAAAAGCTTGTGTTTTATCCTGCCAGCTCTCTGTGATAAAAGAAGGGATCCTTAGGCACCTGTTGCTTCATCAGAATCATCCTTATGAGTCACCACATCAAAATTGTTACTAATACTTTGTATACAATAAAAAAAAAAAATGAGATGAGAAGTAACCTTTTTGATTGCTAAAATCAAAATAAACATATTAATGAGCAAAACATGATAGCTAAACATTCAAATTCACAAACTCACCTGTTTGGTAGGAAAAGATGTCCAGCAATTTTTGAAGATAATATCATGACATATGCAGAAGGAAAGAACCATTATCAAATTTTCTAATTTATACTCCATTTCATTCCATTTACAAACCATTTTCAGACAGCCCATTACACCATTATTTATTCATTTCCACCTGCATCATTACTAATTTTTCATCAAAACAGTGGTTACGCTGCTATTTACTTACTGTCTTTTTCTTAATAAATTCTCTGTATCAAAACCACAGACTGCACACAATCCAATTCCCCTGAAAATATCAGGTAAGGTTCCATTATGAGGTGTGACACTGCTCTTTCTGAGGGAAAGGAAAATATACTGTGCATATCAGAATTCCTCCAACTCATTTTTTATGCCAAGCAAAAAGTTTTGTGACAAACCATACCTCTTAGAAACCTTGTTCTTCTCTATTTTGCATTACTCATTTTTCTATGTATTTTCTATATACTCCTAAAAATACCTGCTATATTATTATTATATTATTACATGAATACTAGAATACCAGCCTTCATAACGTGCTTTATGTCATACAGACAGCATTGATTCATTTTGACAGGAGTAAGAACCTTATCTTTTGCTTCTATTGTCCCCAGGTAAGACAGGGTAATTGATATTACTAGAGTGAATCAATGCAATACTGTGCATGGCTTTCATAAGAAATTATTTAATTTGTGTCAATGGAATATAGTCATCAATCCATATTATAATAAATATGTAAAAGTCTATTTAAACTTTTGCCCTCATTATAGCTACAAACTCCTTCACACTTATTTTTTATACCTGTTAACCATTAAATAAAAACATTTGTGCTACTGTGATAGTTCTGGAATCAGTGAACTCAGAAGACCAGCATAAAAATAAGTGGTATCAACTTCATTTTTCAGCATCATAGCCACGCATAAAACAGATGCTAATAACATCACAGCTCAGATAACTGCAAAAGGTTTGTGCTAGTAAAATGAATCAGTTACTCTATTTTTAAAACAGGATTTAACTTAACTTATAAGCTGTCTAAAGAAAATGGATTTCTACAGAAAAAATAAATCTGAATTGCTACTTGAATAGCAATTAGGTATAGAAAATAGTAATGCATCTGTTGTGCATGTGTACATATATCTCAAAAGAAAAGGGTCGTTACAAAATTTCTTTGATTGTGGACTCAGAACCTGCAATTTGGAAATATCATATGCTTATAACTGTTGGGTATTTATGATTCATCTGCTTCTTTGCATGCTGGTGGAACATACCTCTAAGCTTAATAAATTTTTTAAAAAACCAACACAAAAAAAACCCCAAAATTCCCCCAAAAAAACCTCACAAAAACCCAGCTCTGTTTACGAATGACTATTTCCAAAAATCTGGGAATCGTGGCTTGAACTCAAGTCATACACAGAAAAGTGAAGGTCCACTTTGGAATCTTAACTACAACACTCAGATTGGCCAGTCCAGTGATTTAGCTGACAGGGATTCTCTATTGCCTGGTAGAGTATACATATAATTAAAGGATTTCAAATCCATTTAAGATTAGGTAGGAGGAATACAGTTCTAAGTCCCTAGTTCTTTTTCCTTTTGTCCCCTATGGTAACCTATTTCTATATCATCTTTATAAATACTGCACCCAAAATTGCTGCCACATTTTTTCCCTATTCTTCCACTACACTATTCATTCACAGAATTATGCCTAAATCAAGGACCTGGCTAAGCAATCTCCCTTGCCTGCGGAGGAACACAGACACTGCCTGCTGTAATCAGTGAGCTTGGTTTAGAGCTGTTTTAGGAAGAGCTGCTCTTTGAGGAGCCTGTCTCGCTGCCGCCAAAGGCTCCAAGACCCGACCTCAACAGCAAACCTCAGATACCCGAGCAAAATAAATCCTGCCCCTAATTTTTTACCTCCAAGGGAACGACCAGTAAAACTGAAGCCATATACCTATCCCATATAGATGTTGTTACAACTTACTATGCCAGTTGCAAAATCTTTGTTCACGCTGTTTAAACCACACCCAGCACGACACCAGCCATGCCAGAGCCATTTTCATGTGACTTTTAGAAGGCAGCGTCGCAGCGTGGCTGTCAGGGTGAGTGAAAACAGACCACAGGGTCAGTGAAAACAGACCACAGGTTCAGTGAAAACAGCCACGCGGGAGCAGCAGGAAATCTGGAAGGACAAGGACAGAGCCTCACAGCCCGAAGCCCGTGCCCGGTGCTGGGCAGCGGCAGGGTGCTGCTGCTGTCCCGCCGGGAGGTGCCGGGCGCTGGCGGCCGAGGCTCTGCTCGCTGTGCAGCGCTCCCGCCCCCGCCACAGGCGAGGCAGCTCCAGACAAGCGCCCAAAAGGCCTTCAAGGCTGCGGAGCTCACCTCTGCTCTGACAGCTCAATAATTCTAAATAAATAAATGCGTAACAGCGGTCCCGTTAAGCGGAGACACTACTGACCTCACACCCAGCTAAATTTCAGTTCAGGTTTCGCTAGTGGCAGCTCCTAGCGCGGCTCACGCTGAGAGCTGGGCTCACAGCCCAGGCCCTGTTGCGATAGCCCCGGCCCCAGCGGAGCGGCCGCTCTCGGGCCGCCGCGGGCAGTGCAGCAGAGCCGCTGCCGTGCCCGCCCCGCCGGGACCCAGCTGCCGAACCCAGCTGCGGATGCGGCTTTTCGTTCCTTTTGCCGTGTTTAGCTTTTATTCGTTTGTGTTTGATCACCAAGCCCGCCAGAGGCAGCTCCTTGCCGCGGGGCGGCGCTGCGGGCGGAGGCCGGCGCCGCTCGCTGCCCGCCGCCGCCCGGCCGGGGCTGACGTGTCGCTGCGCCATGGCGGCGGCCTGGGAGGAGATCCGGCAGCTGGCGGCGGATTTCCAGCGGGCGCAGTTCGCCGAGGTAGCCCACAGGTGAGCCGGGCGGCACCGGCACCGCCGCCGAGCCCGCCTGCCGGCACCGCCTGCCGCCCCCGCCTGCCGCCCCCTTCTCCTGCGGCCCCCGGCCCGGGCACCCCGCGGGGCCCGGCCCGGCCCCGCTGCCGTTCCCTGTGCCGCTGCTGGAGCTCCGCGTCCCTTGTGGGACCCCAGAGCACGGGAGGGCCCGGGGAAGCGACTGAGTGTGTAGTCACAGCTAAGTTCGAGTTGCTCGGTTTCACCCTTCTGTCTGCTTGACTAATTGAGAGAACTTGTTGAGAGAACGTTGGCCAGAACTTGTTTTTGTTAAAGAAAAATGAATCCGAAATGCGCAGAAGTAAAACAAAAGCGCGCAGAAGTGTCATAGACACGAATTCTTTAATTACAGGCGTTCCTGAATTCACCAGCAGGTGCGCTCTCACAGCTGACAGGGCTGATAGCTGTTCAGGAGCAGAGTAAAAGTGTTGAGATGACCTGCTCAAGTGAAGCCATATGGATGATTTGGTGGGTGATAAGCAGGATATAGACATTAATTTCTTTGCCTGAAAAAGTATATTCGCAAAGAACTGCAAGCAATCTTCATTGTACTTCCTGTGTTTAGTGTGTTTGAAACTATAAAGGTAATCTTAGCAAGTTCTTCCTTAAAATTAACTGCTGACTCCTTCTGCTTCTGAAAGATTGTCAGAACGGAACTGTATAGAAATTGTCACAAAGCTGATCGCAGAAAAGCAGCTGGAAGTAGTGCACACGCTTGATGGCAAGGAGTATGTCACTCCAGCACAGATTAGTAAGGAGATTCGTGATGAGCTTCATGTTTGTGGTGGTAAGTGTGGCATTTTCCTTCTTCCTTTGGATTTGGAAGTTAATTTTGAAGTCTACAGAAAGAATTTGACAGCTTTCAGTACCCTTAATCTTTCAAAAAAGTCAGTTTGATTCATCTACACAGTAATTCACCTGCTGCTCTTTTATTTTTGGATCTGTGTCAAGTTTTTAGAGAAGCGTTTCAAGGTATGCTATTTGGTTTATTTTTACCCATGTGGAATTTCTGACATAAAAGTTGTATAAAAATCCTTTTTGAAGGAAATTTGGTGTTTTAATACAGTTTAGTATTAAACTGTATTAGGCCAAGATGTTTGGCTTTGTCTTGAAATTTCAAAGTTATTCTCCTCTCACACCAATAGTGATAATAGTATTTGTAAATTGTCATTGAGAAGTTCTTTTATTTTGACAATGTGAAGAGCCACTTGTATTGGAAGATATGACTTGTCTATATCTAAGGAAGCAAGTAAGGAAGTTCAGATAGCTTTTTGTCAATGGCTTTAATGAGCAGGCAGTGCATTGTACTTTGGTTTATTCTTAAGGATTAATTTCACTGTGTCATATGTTTAAAAAATTAATTTCTTATTATGTCCATACAGATTAGCCATTTTCTCACTGTTACCACAGGTTTGCCTCAGTTTGAGTTTTGCCATGGTGTATCATACTAGTGGGACAGTTTGGACTGAATTAAAATTTGCTGGGCTTTTTGTTAGTAGCATCATTCAAAAGTAGAAAGTTTTAGCAATCTCTAGGCACTCATGGACTAGTTTAATTGGTCTACAGAAAAAGTAATTAAGTATTTTGTGCACAATGACCCGTACTTTATTCTAAATCTGTTCAAATATGTTTCATGTACTAAAAGTTTGTTTTAACTTTTCTTGAAGGTCGAGTTAACATTGTTGACTTACAACAGGTAACTTTAGTAATAAAAACTTTATACTTCTTTCTTTTCTTCACTATGTATAGTGTGACTGTGGAGTCTATTAGTTGTACTCCAGCTAAGTTATTTTGTTAAAACAGAAAAAATTTTATGAAGAGCTGGTAGTTCATGTCAGGGTAGTGCAGATTAAGTAATCTGTCCATTTATTGCTTTATTGAAACCTCTCTGCTTAGTGATAATCTAGGACTCCTGAAATCACTACTGGTATATATTGTTTTTGTTTATGAACTCTTTCTTTGTAAACTAAGGAGGGCAGACAGAAAATAAATATGTTACCCATTTAAATTTAAAGGTGCAGGAGCATGCATAATTAACTTTGCATGCCTCTTTGACTCTACTCTCTTCCTTCATTATTCTTTGTCTCCACTAATCTTTGTCCTGCAGTAGTCTTCTTCTGGCTAATTTTTCCTTCAGGCTTGCACAAAATTACTTGGAAACAGAAAACCTTTCTGAAAGCCAGTTTCCTATTTTATCTTACTGCTTTCTGGTATTTTTTTTTAATTATTTATGTTTATTTTAACCTTGCAAAGAGAGGTTTTTTTTTTCCTAAAGGATTGCTGCTTTAGTCCAAAACATAGATCAAGTGTGTTTGTATGCAATTAGTGTAAAAAAAATAAGAGCAGCTTTCCTCAAAATATAGGAATGTGTAACTAATATCTCAATGTTTGAGAATGATTTTCAATTTAAAGTTCTGATAAGAATTTTTTTTTTAGGTAATAAATGTGGACCTTCTGCACATTGAAAACAGAGCTAATGACATTGTTAAATCTGAAAAAGGTATTCAGCTTGTACTGGGACAGCTTATAAATGAGTGAGTACCTTCAGGAGCAATATGGATAATTCATACCGTGTTTATTTTTTAAAACACAGACTAAAAATAATGTCCAACTTTGTTGCTTCTGAAGTGAAATGCATTTTTCCTGACTGGTCTTAGAGCTGCTTGGTGGTGATCAGTGCTACTTTTGGCAGGTGAGACCTATCTCAGCCAAGCACCCAATGAATCCACGGTGTAAAGGCCCTATTGAACATCTGTGTTCGGTGTCCTACATTTAAGAGGCTTCATTTCTCACCCACGGTCTTCATGCAAAGCAGCCAGATCTCATTTGCTCTCTGGCTTTGCTGTCTGCCTCAGCTATTGACAAACCTTCTACCTCTTGTTTTGCCTGACAAGCCTAAGATGTTTGACCTAGTTTTTTAATGGCTTCCAGCACACTTACAACCACTGAAGTAGCACTCTTATGGGGTTGTCCTTTTTCTTGATTGAGCTTCAGGATCTGTTCTTGTCAAAGAATATGAAGTACCTGGCTCTCTTCAAATAGTTAAGACCTATCTCAGTTAAGGTGTTTCCCAATTTTCATTGACATAATGTTTTCCTCTTTCTCTTGCTTGAAATTTTCATACAAATAAATAGATGCCCCATGTTAATACTAGCTACCTGCTTAGCAGGCTTTTTAAAAAAACCCACACTTCACTTTTTACACATTTTCACTCACACTGTTCTCCTTTATTCATTTAAATAACTTTAGTTTATTTTTGAAAAGGTGTAACAGAAAGAGGTATATTAAAAGAGGTCAGTTATTCAGTATGTAATCTTGAGGCTGACTTTGAATGTCACACTTAACATGTTGTCTCTTTTTTTTCTTGTTTTTACTAAAGGAGTTATCTGGATCAATTAGCAGAAGAAATAAATGATAAACTACAGGAAACTGGCCAGGTGACAATATCGGAACTCTGCAAGGCATACGACCTTCCAGGAGACTTCCTGATACAGGTGATGAAAGCCACCAACCTGGCAAATACAGGATTGGTTGTTCTTTCTTTATCTTTGCAATATCCTTGGCTTGAAGTCACCATTTTGTACAAAATTAATACTAAGGTTAAATCCTAGTTTTTGTGGTACATCTGCAAACTATACTTTAGTTTTCTGCAAAGTTTTCTGTCATTAGATACCCATATATTTGACGGAAGAAGGCATGCTTGGAGAAGCTCAATTCTTCTATTTACAGGCATTATCCAGGCGTTTGGGCAGAATTATTCATGGACAACTAGACCAGGAAAACAGTGGGGTGATTTTTACAGAAGCCTTCGTGTCCCGCCATCGAGCACGCGTTCGTGGGCTCTTCACTGCGATTACTCGGTAAATTGCAATGCCTGCAACCACGTATTAAAATATTTTTGCAACAAGTCTTTATGGGCCAGATTCACTTGTGATTGAAACACAAAAGAAAAAAAAAAGACCTATGGATAGATTTCCCTAAGTGTAATTCAGTTCCTAGGACCAATTCTCAGTTACATTAGACTCGCTTGTTAGAAATGGGGATTCTCTTTTGAAAAACAAGGGAAGTACAACATTATACCCTATACAACATAAGTTAGTGTTTTGGCTGAAGAAAATGTTACTCTATAGTTCTTTTGTTACTTTGTGTAATATCTGTTCTCTTGTCACGGCTGCTCCTTAGTCAGTTACATATTGATGTGGCCACTACATGTGGTTAGAGATACGTTGTTCTTATTAAATCAATAACTTTGTATCACTTCATAGGAATAGGAAAACTTAACAAAGTAGAAGTTTCGTTTCAATAATTATCATAGCTTTTATGTTATCACTCCACAGTAGTTCAGAATTAAACACTTGTAAGCTATTTTAAACATCACTGTAGTACCCTGAGGCTATGTTCATCTGTAGTAACCGCTATAATTTCTAGATTCTCCACGCCAGTTGCATATCATTAATTTATATTGTTTTGTTTTTCTTTTTTTTTTTCTGAAGGCCTACACCTGTAAGTAGCTTGATCACTCGGTATGGATTTCAAGAACATTTACTTTACTGTGAGTTTCATTCAGAATATTTTGTGTGTTTTTTGGGAAATCCATTCTTCTTTATTAAAAGTTTGCTTTCAAAGAAGCTTTCCAGCACATAGCCTTAATTCTGAAATACAGAACAATGTGTTTCTCTTTAGTGTAGAAAGTATTAAACCATTTGTACTATCCATAACTGAAGGGA